GATTTTCCCTACTTCACACCGACTTCCGGTCGCTCGCGTGCCGCAATTCTATCGCCCACATCTGGATCTTTCCTTCTCCGCCGATCTTGGCCGCGTAACCCAATTTACGCGCCGCGCTAGCCTCTCGCCCGTTCCAAAGCAGCGTGGAATCTCGATCGATCGAGCGCGCGTATCGATCTCCCGCTGTCTCGGTTTTTCATCGAAATGTCTTCTTCTCACTCTTCGAGATCCACCTCCACCAGGGGATGTATATCCCCTGTGAGAGAGGAAGAAAGATCTCGCAGTTCGCAAACGGACCTTGTGAGTCGACTGCTGGAAACCCTCGTCGTTAGGTCGGCTGACACTCACTCCCTAGTCTAGGGGGGTCTCTCGTCGACGACAAGCTGCCGAGTCTATCGAGACTCGCGAGAAGGGCGTGCTGCTCTCCCGCAGGAGGAGCCCCGTGGCACCAGGGTCTTCCGTTAGTTCATCGTCTTCCGGTGACTTCCGGTGGCCTCTAACGAGGGACAATGCTCTCCTGGTGCACGCTGTGCACGCGGCGCACAACAATCGCGTCTCAAGTTCCTCCAGGCGGGAGGGCGGTGCTGGCAACGCTCGCTCTCCTTGTCTCCGCTTCCCATTCTTCCTTCTTCTCGACTACTTATGCCACATAACGTGGCTCTCAATGGCACATTAGAAGGCTTCCAGCGCTTCCAAGGGCTGATGTGCGTGCCTCGTGTGCGTGCACAACTCTGTGATGAGAAGAAGAAAGAGAGAGAGAGAGAGAGAGAGAGGGACCACGACTCGAACACAAATTATAGACTCCCGGGTCGACCGTTGACGCGGCTCGTCGACTCGTAGATTCGCCAGTCGCTATTTCGGCCACTCGGGACATGAGCTTACGGCTGTGTACGCACGCTGCTCGCTCCTTGTTCGCGAACGCGGCAAATGGCATTCACGGACACGCACGTCTCTCTCGAATCTCGATCCTTTTCAGCGGTATCGCGCGCGCGTCTGGCCCGGTCCTCCGGCTCTCTCTCTCTCTCTCTCTCTCTCTCTCTCTCTCTCTCTCTCTCTCTCATTCTCTCCGCTCGGTGTCTTTGTGGGGAGACGCGCCAATCGCTTCGGGGTAGATCGAGGAGTCGACCACGCGAACTTTACGAGAGAGACCACTCGAGCGCGAGACGATTGTTTAGTCGCCTCGAGGATTGACTTCTTTCTCTTCTTCTGTTTCCTCAATGAACCGGCCGCTCCCTTTCTCTCGGTTTTTCCTCTCTCGAGCTAGGTCCTCTCCGCGCGACCGTTAACGGTTGACGGAGACGTCGCCGAGCAGTCTGTTCTCTCTCGGGGTGTCGACAAATTTCTGATTGAGCCCCGGGGGGGGGGATCGCGTAATGAGATATCACACCTTGGGTGCTTGTGCATAAACAGATTCTCTGTGACGAAAACACCTCGGAAATTTCCTCAGCTTGATCTCTTTCATTCGAGCAATTTATTTTCTATATAAAAGATCCAAAGAGAGAGAAAGAGAGAGAGAGAGAGAGAGAGAGAGCGGGGGGGAGGGAGAAAGACATTGAAAAATAATTATATTAAATTTGTGGCCAATGTATGTGTGAACGCGAATATATATAAAGAATATGTGTACGGTAATTTTTAATTTCGTACGTATATAGTCAAAGGTGGAAAAGCGAGACAAAGAAGCGGAATCGCGTTCATTCTCGGACGTCGATTTCTCATTAAAACGCACAATCCGAGCTCGGCTGGGCGAAGGGACAAGCGTATCTCTGTCTGTCGCTCCATCCTTTGACAGTAGCAGTCGGCGACACGCCCGCAAAATTGCTTCCACAGGCGCGGTCGTAGCGCGCGCGCGCGCGCGCGCGCGAGAGAGAGACAATTTTTCGAGGGCTGCGAAAAATATTAATAACTCCGGTGTTGCAGTAAAGGACGAAGGGCTTCCCGAGAGTAAGGGATGGTCGGGGGTCGTGAGTGGCGGGCGAAGCAGGAGGGGGCAGTAGACCGGGGGTAGCGACGAGGGGGTGGCAAGTGTTTCTGTCAGTTTAATAGCTTCGCGCCTACCTTCCTCCTCATCCCTCCCCTTTTACTCCCACAAACTCACCCCACACGCGCACACTTTGCCGCCGACATTACAGCATCGTCACTCCACGTGTCAGAAGTTACGCCAGACGTAGGAGGTCTGCTTAGATCTGATAACCCTTTGATATTCCCGTTATTTATTGCCCCCTTCGTCGTCGTCGTCGTCGTCGTCGTCGTCGTCGTCGTCGTCATAGTCGTCGTCGACGGCCAGCTTCGCTGGCGACGTCACACGCGTGAGAATCGATCGGGGTCAATTGTCGGAGAATTTGAGCACATAGAATATGCTTCGCGAGGAAATCACGACGATACAAAGGATACAAATATGATAATAAAAAGAGGAATATCCTACAGCACGCTATGACGAGAGGTGGAAAAATCCCACGATTGCGGTTGCCGAGGCTCCTCTTCACGTAATAATCGCGATATTGTGCGGCGTTAAACGATACGGCATTACGTATATTAAACGGATAGTAATAAATATCTAATTATTCCGCTAACGCTAGTGTGTGCCAGATAATATTTGTATAAATCTTTTAATTATAAATATTTGCAAAGCTTGTGTGTGTATAATGTACATATAATATAGGGAAATAATGCATCGCGGGAGTAAACGTATGCAGTATATTTGACGAATTTTAGTATTTGATTATATTTATTTTATTATTTAACCTCGCTCGTAACGGCTGTATTAGCGAGTCAATTTCAAATTTGCATCTTACGTTATTGTTATTTATCTCGGGAGTCGTGTCGAATTCGGGTTGTGCAAATTTCGCATTATCGCGCGATCGTTACTCTTCTAACGTTACTATCTTCACTTTTCCATTTTCGTTCATTAATAAGAAGCGCAGACGTAGAAAGCGCAAGTAATAATCGCGGTATATAATAATTCCTGCCGTGGCCTGCGCGCCGCAGGAAACCGGTCAGTATAGCGCGTACTCTCGGTTTGTCTCAAAGGATACGATTTCCTGCCGCGCGCATTGCTCGGCGGAGCGAAGGTGCGCGCAATAGGTGATATCAACATCCGAGATGGAGACATTTTTATGCCGGTGTAAATCAAGCCCCTCTCAAATATTGCGCGAAGGACAAAGTCGGCGCTGAATGAACGAAGGGTACCCAGCGTTGTCGGCCATAAAGAATGATATAACTGCACGCGACACATGTCTTCCCGGCTGCGAAACACAGTCATATCGTCGTTACAACCTACGTTCACCGCGCCCGCGCCAGCGCCTTTTGCCAGCTACCAGAAATGAAGATTTGTTTCGGCGTCTTTCGGCCCCGTCATATATTCCCGCCGCGGTCGTCCTGATTTTATGGCGTTTGCGCGCGAGATTTAAATCATCGCCTCAGAAATGAACCGACGAGAGAAACGACGTGAACGAATAACTCTCGATTATTCATTGCTGTTTCTCTTTTTCTCTCTCGAAGACGAGGACGCGAAGAGAAAAATCGGTAGGAAAGGATCGTGCGTATGGACGACGCGATATGGTTGCAACGCGGAGGTATTTTTATGCGAGATCGAGTTCTCCGGTAAAAAAAAATTGGAAAAAAGTTTGAACGAATGTGAGAGTGATCGAAGTAGCTGGGGCCTCGCCAGTTTCTCGGTCGTAACGACTTTCGTGAAAAGCTGGACGTTGGCGTTATTCACAGAAAGCGATGTTTTTCCATCGAAAAAGTAAGGCGCGACAATGTACGCGAGATTGACGTTCCCGATATTCTACTCCTTCGATCGACTTTGAAGTCGATCCGATGGACAAATCACGACGAATTGTGATGTGTGGTTGGAAAAAATCGAGAACTGGTCGGGAGGCTCGTGACAGCGACTTTTCGCAGGGAAAAAAGCGGTCACCCTTGTCCAATAAGGGGTTCGATACTTGTCCCGCTGACCTTGTCTCCGCGTGGGGTCTTTTCTGCTCTGCGTCCTCGTCGAGACGCTTTTCGACGGGGGTTTTTTGCGATAAAAAATGTCTCAGTACGTTGACGTCTTACCACCGACTACCAATAAAGTCGAAGGTTTTGGCGTCAACACGCCCCTTTCCGCGTATGAAGCTACTAGCATGGAAAGATGTAAAAACGTCGACGTAGAAAAATAATAAAATGCCAACCGCCGATCTGGAGTTTTTCCTGGAACCTGGACCAGATCAAAACTGCACCGACTAAACTGGAATAAATGTTGTCTGTCACGCTCAAATTCAGCTTCAGCCTCAAAACATTTGGGAGGAAAATTTGTATTTTCGAGAGATGGACATTTCTCCAAATTTTATTCCGTATTAAAAACTCTCTCTCTCTCTCTCTCTCTCTCTATATACATATATATATATATATATATATATATATGTGTATATATATATACAAAGCTCAAGAAATATTCTTTTTTCCAGGAGCACTTATTTTTTTAATTTTATCCGTAAAAATTTTGACTTCTATCAACATTACTTGACAATGTAGCGCATAGTCGTGCTTGAACAAATGAAAACGAACCACGAACATAGCGTAACACGTATGTTTCGCGGAGGCTCGCGCGTACGATAAAATCTACTCACATTTGCGAATGCGCGAGGAGGACACCTGTGTGTGTGTCGATCGACACGCCATCAGATCGATTATTCACGTTCCTATTCACAGGGAACTGTTGCGTCCTTGCGCTCCCCGGCGCGTCTCTGTCAAAATCGATTCTTCCTCAGCAGTCGAGTCTGCGAAAAAAGGAATCCTACGCTCGACTTTGACATTCGGTCACCGCGAAATCTCCTTCGTTATCAGCGTCACGTTACGCTACCCCCTCCCCCATTGCCTCCCCCCTCCCTCCTTGCGTTCTCTCAGACAGTCGCATTACGCTCCACCGCCAGAGCACCACGTTCCTCTCGCTCTCTCTCCCGAGGGATGCTGTAGCCGCCTTGGTGGGGACCCCAATGCGATAGGGGTGGCTCCGCCCGTGAGCCAACCAGAGGTTTCGCTAGAAGCGACCCGCCACACCCCGTGAATCGTCCCTGGGATCCCGCGAGAACCCTCGCGTCGTGCCATCCTCTTCTCAACAGATTTTGGATCCTCTAGTCCGCCAAGGGCCTGCTGACACGGAGCAGCGCTCTTCCCGTTGTCCGTCTCTTCCTGGAGTCAGCCGTCTGGAAGGGCTCGCGAGCTACCCCCCGTGATCACGCATCTATAATACATCCCCCAAGACCCTGGGAGAGCGAGTCGCCACGATCGTGTTTTCGAGCGACTTGGTCGGCCGATCGATCGATCGCTCGCTCGCTCGCTCGCTCGAGGATCATGAGGACGAACGACACAGTTCGCGTTCTTCACGAACTGCGCCCGTCGGTCATCGTGACGTTAACGTGATCTCGTGATAGGACGCTCTGGTGATATCGATATATGTGTCGAGACATGTGTCGGGAGTGATCGGAGTCATCCTCGTCTCGCCCAGAATCACTTGGGAGATCCAGGATTCCGGATCCGAGGCGAGTCACCGATGAACGTTCTCGATCTGTCCCGGCCTGTGATCGATCGCAAGATGAACGGTAAGTCCAGGCGTGCCATCTCCAGGCGTGACGAGCCGATAGATTGACAGCGCTCATCGGACGCGCGATCGGACGCGCAACGATGATGATCGCGAGTTAGGTGATTCCGTTCGACGGAAAAGAAAAAAAAGAAAAAAAGAGAAAAGGCAACGGGAGAGGTCCGAAATCACGTCACGGTATATTGGAGTATGACAGATGTCGTCGCGGGACGACAAGGTCAAGTGTGCCGCGACTGACAATACGAGACAAGACAATACGAGATTGGGCGAGGGTGGGCGAAGGTGCTCGGTGCGCGATACACTACAACAAGCACTATGACAATGATGATACTTTCGCACTTTGATGAATAAAACGCGGCAGACACGAAGCACGGCGAAGCGATTTTCCGCCGTACTCAAACGCACTCCTGTCAGAGATCCGTTTCTGTTTTCAACAAACGCTATATTGTACTCCGGAGAATTGACGAGCGGCGGGGTTGCTCGCTCCGTTCTCAATTGCAATTCTATCGACGCAATGTCGGATGTAGATGAAAGAGAATGAGAGACTATTCCGTGAAAATCGAGCTCGAGAGTGAAGTGACCGCCGAGACCTAGTGGAGAGCGTCGGATCTTGCCGCGCGGTAATCAAGTTATTTCAGTCGTCCCTCGCGGCGCGTTTTTGCGCGACTCGACTCGTGCGATGTGCGAAAGCATGAGTATCCTCCTAGCGTGCTCCAGTCGGCAAACATTGGCGAGGAAGCTTGACCGCAGCCTGTCCGGAAGCCAGACTCCGGAGATTCGATCTTCTGTCCAATTTGGCCTGCCACTTGGCCTGGCAATTCCGTGACACACGCTGATAATCTTATCGACGTTTCACGATACTGCCCCCCCCCCCCCCGCTCTCTGCCCTGGCCGCAGCAGTCCGACAAGGGCCGTTTTTCTAATTAACCTCAATCGCCAATCAGCGCACCGCGGAGTAGGGAGATCTGATACTGTCACAGCGAGATTGTGCCTTCGAATCGCGCCATCCGCAGGAGCTTTCGACTGCCACCGGCTAACGACGCGTCGTGTTCCACGCGGCGCGGCGCGTTGACGTCGCGCGTTCCCCAGAGGATCCTCGTATCGCCAGGATGTCCTGTGCGGTTAGAGCAACGCGGTCTGCACGGGCGCGAACGTAGTAGAGCGGTGCAATCGCTCTTCCGACATCTCTTTAGCCGCCAATTTGTTTAATTATCTTTTCCGGAAGTCACGCTTACATTCCTCCAAGCTGCCGGGCAGTCTCTGCGTCCTGCCTCGCGCGGATACTCGAGATGCTTCGCATCGACAACGATCTCTCCTCGTGAACCTTTCCTTTCGATCGACACGAGGAAACGCTCGCGTTGCGCGTGGCGGATGTTACGTACAGTCGAATGAAAAAACTAATTACATCCGAGCGAAATTTATGTGGGACCTCGACGAAATATGATATTTATATTCCGACGAGGAACGCCGCGATTGTCTCACTTGTCTCACTTGTGTGTGTGTGTGTGTGTGTGTGTGCAAATTTCAATTTGATTCCTTCCTTCGGTAGTCCCGCGTATAAAATTCACTCGACGATATTTGAACGCGCGCGCGGCCTTTCGTGCGTCTACTTAATACGGCGGATTAATCCATCATTGCTCGATCGTTTGTTAAAGCCTTCGATCGTGAAACGTCAACTCCCGATATATATTCGGCGCATGCAGCTACGCGGCCAATCGATAGACGAACCGCGCGCGCGCGCGCGCAAGTATCGCACACGCGCGCATCAATCATCGATCACAATAGAGCCGTGCGATGCAAAAGAGTCATTTTGCTTTATAACTCACTAACTACTTCACCGCCGTGTGTATGGATAAACACGTATTATTATTTTCGCAGTAAACAGCACGGGCGCGACGCACAATGACAACTGATAGAATAATTTTCATTAGCCGCGTGTATCCCTATACCACTCATAATAATTTAATTATTATTCATTGTTCACGAAGCGACCTTACGGGGGGACGCGTCCATGAGATGTTCTATACATAGAACCGCGATGAAAGGCCGTGACTGTTCCGGCAAACATTTCATCGGAAGGAAATCGGCCGGTTTTGCGACGTTAAAGCGACTGAAATTCAAGTCTAAAGCGCCCACTTCACAGTCCTGCCGTGTCCTCTTTTTTTTTTTTTTTTTTTTTTTTTTTTCGAAAGCGACGGAGACGAGGAGAAATCAAGCCTTGTTACAGATAATCGCAGCGAGTGTTTACGAGGAAATTTCTCGATTGACACAAAAAGCGGATTCTTCCCACGATTAATTCGCCCAGGGCGTGAGCCGCGCTAGAGGGCCTCGGCACTTTGCTCTAATCATCCTTAGTGGGGCCTCTCGAGCCGCTATCATCGGGGATAATGTCACGCATGGCTCAACAAGTATACTCGTACTTCTGTCAAGGGAGAAAATACACCAGCACTTGTATCCCACAGGAGTCAAAGACCCCTGGCTTTTTTTCGAGGGTTTCCCAAATATTGTTCTTATATCATATCGGCTCCTTGCGCGAGAGGATCCGACATGAGTAGCGACCCTTCGCGCAAGATCGAATATCTCTCTCTCTCTCTCTCTCTCTCTCTCTCTCTCTCTCTCTCTGTCTCTCTTCTTTACGATCATCCGCGATCAGCGCGAACCAACACCGCTGCCAAATCGTGTTTATTCTGTCGATTAGGATCGCATTTGGGACAACGGTGCGCGGTATCGTGTTCTCGTGCGCGCCTCTCTCTCTCTCTCTCTCTCTCTCTCTCTCTCTCTCTCTCTCTCTCTCTTATCTCCTTGTCGGGCGCGTATGAAATACGAATCCGGAAGAGCAATCAGATCGCAATTCTGCAACGCAATTTGGAGATACGTCCACGTGTAGAGTCTTTAAATAGGCGCGCGCAAAACTCTATGTTGACAAGATCCTGCCGTTTTATTTCGCGACTTTTCTTTCCTCAGTCTCATGCAGAGCAAAGAGTAATTTCCCCGTTTTCGAGACCTCAGAGACTGTACGCGCGCGCGCGCGCGCGCGCGCACGGGGCCCCCTTTCTCGGCTTATTATCAGCGATTTATTCTTCCCCATTAGCAGTGACACATACGCCGATATCGACTCTCGCAGACGTCCTATCTCCCGGAGCTCCGTGTCGACGAGCACGCCTCGCAGGATCACCGTTTTCTTTTACGACTCGGCCGCGTCGCCGACGTAAGACGGCGGATCCTTAAGTCTTTGTTTACTCTCTCTATTAGAATGGAATTGAACCGGGCGTCGTAAAATTGATACTTTTAACGTTTTATTGCGCCACGCGACCTAAGCCGTCTTTCACGTACGTTCGGCCGCAGCACGTCGAGAACGCATCGCGTCCGCGCGTCGTTTCCACGTCGTATGCCCCCCCCCCGCCCCACCCCCCCGTTCGACGTGAAGATCACGCGTGTAGCGAAGATCGATCTCACTAGCGGCCCCCCCCCCCCCCCCGGTAAATGTCGAAATTGCAATCGTGAGAACATTTTTCTCCACGAGGAATCCTACTTCTCCAGCGTCTTTTTCTCCCCTTCCTTCTTCTCCGTTCATCCTCTCGACCGTCTTGTGCGCGCGTCTTTTCGATACACCTGCCAGCTCGTCGCTGAAACGATCATTTGCTTAGCCGCCGATTCACACGAAACTCCCACTGTTTGCAGAGGACTTTCGATCTTCGCAGGTTCCTCCGCTACGGACGGAGGATGACGACGCGCGTGAAGTTCATAGTTTGTTCTTAGATAGCCGATACACCACGAGGATATCTTTCGATTCGAAGATAAGGGCCGCCATTAAAAAGGACTCTCGTATCCGGTCGGAGAGTGAGTTCTTCAAACAAATCCAGATTCTCGCGCGCGATGCTCCTTTGTCGTCTCGAGCGTGACATATAATTGCCGCTCACGGATGTGAGAACTAAACTCGACATACTCTCCGAGACTTTCCGCAGGTATATAATTTCAACGCTGTATGTTGAGAATGCAAAATTTTCCAAATTATTTACATCTCTCCACGTACCATATTACTACTTTCGATTACTCATTTGTATCTTTCTCCTTTATCCTCCTCGACCTCGAGAGAGAGAGAGAGAGAGAGAGAGAGAGAGAGAGAGAGAGAGAGAGAGAGAGAGAGAGAGAGAAAGAGAGAAGAGAGATGAGTTGTTTGCGAACGGTTACTGCGAAGTCGCTTGATAACGCGCGATTGATAGAGTTTCGTTCGTCGCGGATGCTCGTCACGCTGGACGGTGTCACGGTGCATCAAAAACAGCCGACGGCGGGACAATAAAATTCTTATCACGGCAAACATCCTCGGCTTGGGTGTCACCGCGTGCACGCACGCGGCAGCTGCGTCGGAGAAACGCACCGCGGCAGATAGCTCGCTTCAATTGACACTTGTCCTTGTGTGCCTAGGATTTCGTCGAGTCGTAAAGAGACGGCGGGCGGGAAGAGAGTTGGAGCAAAGCGCGCGCGAGAGAGAGAGAGAGGGGGGGGGGAGGCTGCAAACAAATTCATTTTAGCTCTTGTGCGAAACGCACACGACGATTTTCCGACCTTCATCGAGACGGCAAGTTTACACGGAGCCACGACCTTTCTCGCAACAAAACGCTCGCACTCGCGAGTGCTTAATATCACGAATCGCAACTTTACTGCGGGAACTACGCGAGCCGCCGCTTTCCCAGAAATGACCAATCGCTACGTCACTCTCCGAAAAGTCCGTCCCTCATCATCGTTCTTGTGCGCGCAAATCTTTCCCGGTAAATTGGATTTTCGCAAATGGCGCGCAACGTGTCGTCGCTTGGTCGCGGCGTGACCTTCCGAATCGCCGGCTGCACGTCGAATGGAGAATTTTTACGAAGGGTGCGGGTCGATATAGTCGCGGATCGAGCGTCTACTGATTTACGAGCGTGTCGTTGACTTTGTCCCAACCAAATCCGGCGATATCGCAGACGGAATCTGCGAAATCATCGGGAGCGAATTTTCCTCAGCTTCGGAGAACGAAAACCTAACCGTTAGCCGGTTACATGAAGTCGTACAGGGATTTCGTGCTGGCTAAAATCGCAAAAATCAATAACATGCGAGATCACACAAGGATTTTATAAGGTCGCAGCGGAAATTGACGAAAGTAAAAAAATTCGCCGCGATGCACAATCGGAGGCGGCGCTGCAGCTACCGATAAGCAAACTCGCGTCCGAGATTCATCTATCGCGTCTCTGAGACTACCGACGTTTCGCTCTTTCCAGGAAGCAGCGACGAAGGCGAGTCGACATCGGGCGCGACGACTATCGGCGGGGGTGGCGGCGAGAACGCGGAAATGGAGGAAAACGGATCGACTCGGGCGAGCAGCAACAGCGGCGGCAACAATCCCGTCTACAGGGATCTGAAGCCGCTCCAAGCCGGCGGCGCGCACGAGGTCCCGCAGGATTACAACCCGCAGTCGAGATCCGCCTATCACCACCAGCGTGGCTACTCGCCGGGGATGGACCGACAGCGCGGTTATGAAAAGGAGCATCAGCCGCCACCGTCCGCCCGGGAGGAGGAGAGAAAATCGGCCTGGGATTACAGTGAGAAGAGCGCGCGGAAGGATTACTCGAGGTCGCGGGATTACAGCAATGAATACCGTGAGTTTTACAATTCCGCCAAAGGGCTCTCGCCGCGCAGCGCGTTTTGTGATGTTCAGTCCTACTCGCGCGATTTCAGATACAGAGAGACAGAGAGAGAGAGAGAGAGAGAGAGAGAGAGAGAGAGAGAGAGAGAGAGAGAGAGAGAGATGTGAATTTGTCAAAGTCGCGCTCATGCAAATATCACGTAGTCCCGAGCGCGACACATCCATGACGCAACGATTCACTAATATTCTGACGTGATGATGATTCTTCAACGTTTGCTTGTCTACAGAGGACGCGATAAAGCAGGAGCCCAAGGATCAGTCGAGTCGCGAATGGGTGTCACCGGTGCCTGAGGTCGAGGTCGGCGGCTCGGCGCCCGGAGGCCCGCACGTACGAGCGCGCAAAGACATCCCTCGTGGCGCGAGATTCGGCCCGTTCCTCGGCAAATGGGCGAGCGAGCCTTTTAACCCCCGTTACGCGTGGGAGGTGAGTCGTATATTTCTGCCGCGGTGTGTGTATAGACGTGTGTGCGTGTTTATCGCTTTCGCCCGCTTTCGAATTCTCGAGTGGAGGTAGTAGTCGAGTCGAGGCGAGGCGAGGCGAGGCGAGGCGATCGTAAAGCGAATAGGTCGGTGCTCGATCAGTTCAAACTGACCTTTCGAAACGAAAGATGTTTGCTGCGCTCTCTCGATGTTGCGAAATAGTCCTTGGGCGCTCTCTTTTTATTTATTTTTTTCCTCGCTCCCTTTCGCCTTTTGTCCAAAAGCCAATTAGCATTTTGCAGTCGGTGTTTGACGATTAACCGAGCAAGGATGCAAGCTGCTTCGTCGAACTTGTTGAGTAAAAACAGAGAAAATCATTTCTCCACGGAAAGTGAGAATATTTCGGAGAATAAGACATATTCCCGCGTATGAGTTATATATAACCGGTTCGATGCTCGAGCAAATAAATGTACAACTTTTTTATTTCGTCAAACGATAAGAATGCTGAATGCAGAGTGTCGCTAAAATCTGTCGACGTGTCGACTTTCGGCGTATGACGTGTGTTTGAGAGAGGGCTTTGAGATCATCAAACTTCCATCCCTCTCGAATGCGCGCAAGTTCTCTCTCTCGCCAATAGCGCACGTCCGTATACGCTCATTCGGGCTTCACGAGGGATTCACACGCGAATCTCATCCGCGATATCATCGCGAATTCAAGTTGTCGTCGAACCGTTTGAAAGATGATCGATCTGTTTATGGCTCGAGTTCGGCGCAGGAATGTTTCGTTCCGCGTCCGATGCCGATGCCAGCGGGTTTTCTATCCTACTGCCATAATCCCGGGGTATTATCCGGCAGATGCCGGCGATGGTGAAAGAAAAAGAGGGCGAGAGCGGGAAAGAGAGATAGAAACGGACAGACAGAGTCGTCTTCTTGCTTCGACAGCAACCACCTGGCCGACTCGTTCGCCGAAGGTGTCATCCACGTTGACAGATCTGTCAATTGGATCGTCTCGGACAGCTCTCTCTCTCTCTCCTCTCTCTCTCTCTCTCTCTCTCATTCTCTTTTACATTTCCTGCCGGAATTTTCAGATTCAGATCCTATGGAATCTGTCTGGAGTCCGCATACGCTGCGCCGCACACATTCCTAAGTCGACCGTAAAATCGGCGTTCAAAGTCACGATTGAGGAATCAGCCCGTGAAATCGTCAACGGAGATAGTTCTTTCCTCGATTTCATAATACAAGAACGTCCGTGCAATTTGTTCACGCTTCGCTGGAATTGTCAGTTTCCACGGAACCGAATGTGTAACCGAATTTTGTACGGAATCGCGATGTTGCGAAACGTTGTTGGCGAGGCGTTTTCACTGACGGTCGATTCTATCTGCGGAAATTCGCTGAAATTTGCGTCGCGAGTATGCAAAGATTTCCAGATTTGGACAGTAGAGGGAACTGATCGGGCACTGGTTCAGAGAAGGGGGGGGGGGTGTGATAGATATGATAGCGGCGGCGTTAGCGCATGTCGCACTGACAAAATGTAAATGGCACCATCCATCTAACTGCCGACAAAAAGGCAGCCGGAGCCAACTGTCGGACCGGCGATTACAGGATCGATTAAAGCCAAACTACCCCTTCGTTTCGTCGGGCCGATCTATCAACCCCACGCGCGTAAACGTGCTACAAGCGCGCGTGCGAGAGGGAAAACATCGCGAGAGAGATTCGGCCGCGATTTCTCACGTCGATCCACGTTTATTCGAAACGCCGCGCGAAGCCCGGGTCGTAAGCCCCCCTCCCTCCCTCCCTCCCTCCCCGAGAGAAAGTTCCCCAAAATCATTGAGATCCTTCCAGTTACCCAAAGAATCCCCAAAAACGACCACTTGAGAGGACACTGTCCTCTCATTTTATCGCGCAAACTTCAGAGGATGATTAAAGAGAGAGAGAGAGAGAGAGTAGAGATATTAAAATCAGAACGAGGCGCAGAATAAGGTGCTTAGCGATTTCCATGACAACGAATGCGTCAGGACAGTTAGCGAAGAAGCTCACGGAGAGACCTTTCCCGGAATCCGGCCAGGCAAACAAGACTCCCCCTTTCGATCGATTCACACGTTACTTCCCCGATCCTAATCCTTTTCTCACATCCTCCGGGAAACTCGCCGCCAAGGCGCGAGAGAGGGGGATCAACAGGGGGGGGGGGGAGAACGTGCTTCCCGAAACCGAAATTCGCCCCAAATTTCCCCGCTGTTTATCCACTCTGAAGTTTCCCGCGGAAGATCGGAAAGTTTTTATAGGATTACCGCGAATCTAAGGGTGATCGCGCGCCGCGTCAATTTTTCTGGCCAACCAGATAGTCGAGCCCAGTAGTCGAGCAGTAAACGTGCGATAATTTACTTTCAGTCAACAAGATCCCTCCGAGCCCCCTACGAATCATCCTCTAATTTTTGACAAGCAGCAATTAAACTCCGAATAAAAAGGGCACGAGCAAAGAGAGATATATTTCCAAACTCCGGAGAACGTGGTGGTTCACGCTACTTTGTCGCGCGCGCGCCAGTTGAAAGGCGCGAAAGGAAGAGAAATCGTATAACGACTCGTAGTCGTCGAGTCCTTACGAGGGGTTTGGCTTATTGTCGGGAATCTGGGAATCTGGGGATTGGGAGTCGCCGAGATAGTTTAGGTATCACCATTACATCACCTGCCGCGAGGTTTCCATCTCGTTTTTCCGAGTCCGCCGGAAAAGAAAAAGGGTGAGATAAAGTACAAGAGGAAAGGAGGAAATGAAAAAAAACGGTGAATGAGAGAGACGGCGGAGGGTAGGATCGGGATTCTCTCCGTTCCCGATGTATCCCGCTCGGTGACGCGTGATCCGCAGGACGACCGACCTGCGGCGTGCCTGCGTGGCGACTAAACCAATCTAAGGCTTAAGTTCACTCGGCCGAGAGACCCCTCGCGTGAGGGCTGGGCTTCAATTTGCCGAATGATTTCGAGAACCCGAGTTAAATGATCAACCGAGTCGCGTTTATTGCACGATGCTCGGCACGTTACACGTAGACACGTTTGAAAAATGATTGCGTGTATCGCCCGAATGCGCAAAATCTATTAGCCTAATGCAGCGTGATATGCGCGGGGGTGTGTATCAACCGTGACGGGAATTAACGTGTTGGACAGTAAACGTCGTTTAATTGATGTGTCGAACGAATGATTTATCGGTGCGATACGGTGCGGTATCCGCGACAATAAATTGTCTTCTGCAAGATACTGAGCTCAGCTGCTCAGTGAACAGCATCTCAGTGTCGAAATCTTCTCAACGCGTCGCGTACAAGTGCGTGCAAAACGAAATCGACATTTGACCGAATATTTCGCCAGACAGACAAAATGTGAGAAATATCTCATAAAGGTTAATCTCTCGTAGTATACTCGTATACTCTCTCTCTCTCTCTCTCTCGGAAGCGACCTCTTATTTCGCGCGGTTTACCCGCGCGAACATTTAAATCTCTTCCGCGAGATCTTTTCCCTCGAGAGTAGTATACTTCACACCGAAAAATCATTCACGTCGAGTTTACGCCCACGAGAATCTCCCACTTTTCCGACCATTCGCGCGCGCATTCCCCCTTCTCGGCATTTTCCTTCTCACTTTTCTTCCTCTACATATTGAAACCGGCGGCGTTTTTTCCACGTGGTTGCCGACAACCCCTGGCGTGGTCTCTTGACTCGGATCGGAGACCGCCGCTCGCCTTTCGGTGCGACCACGTGGGAGAAACGGAGGACCGAGGCCACCGCTTGTTTTTCATGCTGAAACGGCCGCACGCGCCTCGTCGCCCATACGAGGCACTTTTTCAGCAAATCGGCCGGAAAACCTCGCTGTGAGAGACGTATGCGACTGACAAATCATATTAATGGTGATTCTCGAGGAGAAACGTGCCATCGTCAAGCGCACGGAGTTTCATTTCGCATGGCCGACGTTGCTGTGTGACGTTGTCGAGTAGCGATATGAATGCGGCCGCGGCTCGGTATTCATCACGTTGCGATTTACAAATCGTCTCGTCAAAGTGTCTCGCCGAGAACAAAAGGAAATAAAGCAACCGGTGTCACAACAAAAGTCTGTGAGTGAGAATTCCTCTACATCATCCACCCCTCGGCATAATTTGGAATTTTACACCGACGCACTTCTTCGCGTCCCATGTTCGCCGGTTCGCAGGTCATCAAAGCGACGCGGATTCCGTTTGTGAGATTTGCCGGGAATCGTAGGTGGTACCTACGCATGCCGATCGCATTGTCGACGTTATTAAATTCTCGGCCCATCCTGAAGTAGGTATTCTAGACAATCCGCGCGTCCGCCGTTTCGACCCGACAATAGAGCGCACATCGGCGCCTATTATCCGAGAACATTGTCCACGCGAACTGGTCTTCAGGGCGTTACTGCCGGTCAAGCCCCGGAAGTGATTCGACAATGAGGCACATTATGCTCCCTCCCCGCGCTCCTCTCCCACCTTTCCCTATCGTCAACGGTGCGCGGCTTAACGTGGGCCTTATTAACCACCTTACTGCTCATAAGTGCAACACGAGTATTCCCCCCCCCCCCTCCTGCCCTTCTTCTGCATTTCTCGCCTTGGGCATTTCAAATCGATATGCCGATGCCGGACAACGGGACTCGCGCTCGCCAGTTCTCAAGGCATAGGGTTACCCCGTCTTGCGATTTCCCGTATTTGAATTTGAAATGAGAGAGAGAGAGAGAGAGAGAGAGGGAGAAATGGCAAGAAACAAGTGACAATCAGAGACGCCGGGATCTCCGTTATTGTCCGAGCTGTCACGCGTCTGACGCACCGGAATGTCAAAGGATCTCACCTTCCCCCCCTCTTGCCTTCTGCCATACGTCGTGGTCATCTATGCAAGTACGTGTACTGGTCAAGAAGGACGACCGATCAGCCGTGTAATGCGCGCTCGCGGCACCCCGCGAATTCGTCGCCTTTTTTGAATGTTACTTTTCGTTTCGCGGCGAAAGAACGTTTCATGACGA